GGTTCGACTTTATTTCCAAAAAGTCGGTTCGAGTTCGGTTCGGATCGGTTCGTTTTCGACCTCTGATGCTTAGTGAGAGGTTCTCTTGTTCAACCATGTTCACATACGAACGATCAATAGCATCGTTGGGTGAAGAATTTTATATTAAATTACCAGTGATTTAGGTATTATGTCTACACTACATACTCCATCGATAGAATGACTAAAAAAAGACAATTATATGTAGATGTATAAATTATTCGAGAATTTTATCTGATCTATCTATCACGGTCAGAAGAATCGGTATCGCTTTTCTCGCCGTTTATTTCAACACTCATTTCCAATGGTGTTTGATAAAAATAAATTTCCTATTCAATCGGAAAAATAAAGTGATATGAATCAATTTGAATTTTTCATATCCTTGCCAAATTGTTTCTCATCTCTTATGGATAATTTTCTACGAGGAAAAAATTCTAAACGACAAACTTCAGAATATGTCGGTGCAAGCGTACGTGTGAATACGGGGATGTGGATGAATAGAAGACTCATATCCATCTGCACACCCACACTCATAAAAATGATAAAATTTTGAAGATTGTGTTCAATATTTTAAAATTTTCTAGCAATTATTAAAGATTAAAAATTTTTTCATTTAAGACAAAAAAAAGCTTTTCTCATATTCTCGATACAATATAAAGATCTAATTTAATAAATAATTGATTTGTATAATAAAGTATAAGATCAATATTGAGAGCTTTTTTCGATTATGTCAAAAAGTCTCGAAAGAAAAATCTAGGAAATGTTATTCTACTCTTCACTAATATGTAAGGATACTACCGATTAGTTAACCGAGCGGCTTCGATTTCGACTCTTGAAAATCTTCAAAATTTCCGTCGATTCATAAAATCTGCAAATATGAATTCTACCATTCAATAATCATTATCAAGAAGAATTTTTATTTGATTTAAATAAAGTTAAAACGATTTTTATTGCGCATATATATCATATATGATTCTTCTTGTTTTTGAATGTTTTCAGGCTCCACATGGTTCTTTGCCTTTGCAACCATATCCAGCTTGTCCATCACATGCATAAACAACAAATGTTGATATTGCATATTGCCATTCATATCCACCACCATTTGCAATAACTGCATATGCGCAACAACCATAATCAATAAAAGACATATCCACTTGTTGTGGTTTTTGCCAATTTTCTCGATCGAAAACAATTGTATTGAATTGAGCACATTGTGTACCATTATAATATGAATTTGGTTGGACTTTAAACTCAACTTTGACTTGATCACCTAGTGAATGAACTGGTGGCGTGTTTAATTTTAGTGTAAAATGATCTTGACCATCTGGAGTTACCACAAATCCTTGTTGAGGATGTATAGTGAAACCTAAAAACAATCAAAATACAATATCACAAATAATGCTAGACGAATAACTGAAAGTTATAATCTACCTGCATTTGCATTGCCACAATAAGAAGGCCATTGATTAGGTAAATTGAACAAATGTTCAGCTTCTGATGGAATACCATGTGTAAATGACAAATAAACTGTACTGATGTATCTATGTACAAACATGGGATAATTTGCTGTCTCATTAAAAATGGACAATTGATACTTACTTATCACTGTCATAGCCACCTTCAGAAGCAGCATGTGCATAAATGGTTTTAACTGGACTATCTTGTGTTTCAAAATAACTTAAGCATGGAACTTTACCAATACCAGATTGTTTTAAGTCACATATTTCTGGTGAATCATATCTCTACAACGACAAAAATCTTTTTAATACATGTTATTTATTTGTAATTAGATGTGCGTGCATTTATACTTGATAATACGTCTACCAGAATGATCTATCGTCATAGTTTTAGAGAACACTACTGTGGAAGACAGGATTCTCCTTATGCATCATTCGAAATCAAGAAGGATTGCTTATCTCACTCCAATTGCAAGAGAAAAAAACATACTATTGCATATTGTTGAATTTCAGGTATCCATTCTTGACCCTTGTTGATCAGATTTGATGGTAATGGAAACCATGGTTGAATTTCAGTATGAGTTTCTGCACCATGAAACCAGCTGCTAGGAAATGGGCCGATACTATTTATTGGATCTGTTTTGTACCAACAATTATTCTTCAAAAAAACAAATCTTATTTAAAGAGACAAATAAGAAAAATCGATTATTTTTTTTTTACTTTTGTAAAGTCAGGATAATCAGGATTGAAATTGACCATTGTGTAACCTTGTGAAGCTGGCTGAAAAGAACTTCATAGTTAATCTTTTTTGTTTTTACATAACGAGTAATTTTCTACTGACTGAATCTGCTTCAGCACCTTCGGGCTTATATTTAAGCATGTAAGTTTCGTTTTGTTTTGATTTCCATCCTTGTATATCAAAACGAACTCTTAAATTTTCATAATCATATAACAGTTGTTGAACAATTTGAATTGGTGTGTGCAATGAATATAATCCACTGATATTCAATATTGTTTGAAATTGTTTCGGAAAACCTCTTTGACAAAAGCATTGATGAATAAATACAATCAACATTAATGACAATATCGTTAGCCGCATTTTTCAAGTCTTTTATATTTTGCACGCAATAGTGTGATAAAAATATCGAAGAAAATGATAAGAAAAAGGTAACTTTTATATATAAAATGCTTGCTTTGTCTTCATTAACACAGATATTACGTTACAATTTCAAGTGCAACATGATCTGCAACTTAAGCCATAATTATTACCATGAGAAAGGGCAAACTAGTAGTTGTAGATATCGTTTTGGTTCTGGCACCTCACCCATCCTCGAATTAAAAATACAGCTAATAGTATCAAAAGCATTGTGTGTCTATGATTCCGAATTTTTTGAATCAATTTTCAATTATAAACGAAATAGAAATACAAATTTTTGTCTAGTCTTTCTCGGATAAATCACAAAAAAAACAAACTTTTTCAAACTTCAATCTATTTTTCATTGAAACATATGTAATCAGGTATATTGAGTCACTGTATTGCTGCAAACAACAGAGCAAACTTATTTGAGGGTGTCTTAGAACTTTATTAAATGACAATTTCTTTTGTTCTGTACGAAGTAAAATTTTCGTCTAAACTGATTTAGTGTGGATGAAGGCGTTAGTATTCTTCTGTGTCACATCCACATCCTCCAGACCGGGTCAAAAAACATGGAACCACAGGTCTATCATTCCAACACTTGATCATGTCCTTGATATCCTTATTTTGATAAAATTCTGAATTAAATAATAAACCCTAATTTCTAATGTACTATTTTTATCAAAAATCTTTCGTTTATTTTCAACAAAAAAAGTTTCACAATAAAAAAACAAAACCGAAAACAAAAGTTAAATCTTATGTAATTCTATCAATAATCTTCTTAAATGATAACATAATTGTTTTAATTCTTGTTCATAGAAACATTTCGAAATAATTAATGTCTGTGCTCGACCAGTACATGGATCATGTTTATATTCCATCGATAACATTGGAAATTTATTTAATGTATGTCGAAGACAATGATCTGATATTAAATTTTCGGATAAATCATACATTAAAGTCGAATTTTTTGAATCAATTAAAAACATTTGTAATTTCGAACATGATTGACATGAACAAATTAATAACGCTTCATTTATTGAAATAATATTAAATGATGAAGTTAATGATGTTGAACAATAATAATTCAACATATTTAAACAAAATTCATAAATTAAAATAAAAGCTAATGGAAACTTTTGATTTTTTTTCTCTCGATAAATCTTAATTATCATTGGAATTAAATAAATTTTTAAACATTTTTCAATAATTTCATTATCTGATGAATTTTTTCTTATTCGTTTAATAATATTATAAGCAAGAATAATTAAACAATCGTTTGAATATGATTCATCAAGAATTAATAAATAAAATATTGAACAAAGTGTTGATAATAAAATATGTCTTGGAAATGCTCGTCGTTTAAAAATAAAACGAATTAATATATTAATAAATAAACAACGAAGAGTTTTATTTGATAGTTCAAGTAAAAATTTAACAATTTCATTGAGTTTTGTTGGCATCGATAAGATGATTGCTTTACGAAATAAATTAAGAAATTCAAATAAGAATAAAGATAAATCAGAAAAAGTTTCAATGAAATGATTTAAATTCGAATTAAAGAATAATTCTTCTTTGAATTGTTTATTTTGAAAGAGAAATTTTATTGATTGAATTAAAGATTTTGTTAGACCAATTCGATTACGAAGAAGAATTAAATATTCAAGAAGTTTATCGAATGAAGATATTCGATTATGAAGAAGAGAATTGAAGAGATCAAGAGATAAATTGTTTATGATTGATATTGGTAATGATAACATATACGATAAATGATGATAGCCGAGTGAAGGATCGTCAAGAATAAGATTCCATTGATGTTGATATGGGAGAAGAACAAGAACGTGGAAAGTTTTGCCATCGTGGAATGTTGGATCAGCTAATGATAAGAAAAATTGAGATGAATTAGGTAGAGAGTATTTCGAGCCTGATGGGAGATACGGGAAATTAAAAAGTAATCAATCAGAAATCTAGAAGTAGAAATGCTGATCACAATGATATACTGAGAATGGATTAGTAATTCTCATTTAGTACCATATAGAACATAATACGGAATCATTTTCTTCAAATTTTGATTAAGAAAACAGGTGTTTAGGTTACTAAATGATGAATAATAATGGTCTTCCATCAGTATTCTTACCTCTATGTTTCTGATTAATAAAATTTTCAGTACAGGAAAAAAAATATTTCGACCAACAGACTTCTTAGGTATTGATTATAATTCAATTTTGAAAAAAGAAAATTGTTCTTTCTATTAAATGAACTTACTACTATGAAAAAATTGTCGTATTGCCATACTTTCTTCAACTGCATCAACATAACTATCAAGTTCACCAAGAAATTCATTTGTTAAAACTGTTTGTTGATGTTCTGAATCTAAATTAATTGTAATTTCATTTATTGAATTCAATAATTTTATATTTCGAATAATAAATATCGAATTAGATGAATTTTTCATTTGAAAAGTTGCCGAATAAATTAAAAATGATGAAAAATATTTCATTGTCGATATAATTAATTCGAATATTATTCGATATTTATCACGAAATAAATAAGAAAAATATGGTGAATCATCGAGTGGATGTTGAAGTGGAATAATTAATTTAGTTGGCATTTTATTAATATTTTTTTTCCAAAAAGAAAATATTCGTTGAATTTGTTGAATTTCAAAAATTGTTTTGAGATTTGTTGAATAAGAATTTGTTTTCCAAAGAAGAGAATAAAGTTCATCAATTGATCTAAAAAGAGAAGAAAATTTTTATATATGAAAGATCAATATTGAAAATTTTCATTTCTCTTACTTTGATTTTGTAACGAGATGATAGACCAATAAAATTTTAAATCCTTTTTCAATTGGTTCGATTTCATGATCACAACCGGTTGGTACAACAATAATAAATGCTTTCGAATTATTCGATTCATGTTGATTAAAAACACTTGTAGAAGTTGCTTCCAAATTCTGATCAATAAATCGATAATTTCCACCTGTATAATTCGATGGTAAAAATACAATAATTGTTGCATATGACATAAAAATTGTATCATCAAAATTATACATTTTTGTATGTGAACATGGACCAAATATTATAAGTTTATGAAGATGTAAATCAAAATATGAATTTAAATGAAGTTGTTCAAATGTATTTGATCGAATTGCAGATGAAAATGGCAAAGGAAAATCAATTAGATGACTATCAATTTGCCAAGCCGTGTTAACAACCTGAAAAAGAAACATAATAAAATTTTTATCGATGATTTATTTTATTTACTTTTGTTCCACAAAATTCATATTTATTCGATAGATTTAATGGAACACCATATTCACAAATCATTCGAGAACATAAAACATTTGATAATGGAAATGTAAAAAATGTATTAGGTAGATTTTTAAGTTGAATTTGACATGGATGATTGAAATCAAGTGGTCGTGTACAATTGTTTAATTTATTTTCGTGAATATTATTGAATATTTGATTCCAATTATATCGCCAATTGTTTTCAGTGATTTCATCATCTAGAATTAATGAACAATTGAAATTGAAAAAGAATTTTTTTTTTTTTTTATTGATTACTTGATGAATCAATATCTTCGTCACTGTAGATAATAGTTTCTGTATCGGATGATATATCGTCGATTTCCATGGAAGATAGATAAATGAAATTTAACGTTCGTGGTACGATTTTATTAATCACCAATTCAATTAAAATGTTTGTTTTCTTCGAGGGTGTAATTGAGCGACATCTCTTTTCAACGAGAATTGGAAAAAAAATTCTTTTTTCCGATCGAATCTATGGGTATTAATGAGAAAATTTCAGTAGATTTTTGAATTCAAGTTTATAGAGGCTGTTCACATTAGAGCTGCCAACCGAAGATTTTGGGCTGATGCCTTTATCAATGATTGAGAAATGTGCAAAGATTTTTTTTTCATAGGGACATCATTAAAGAAAATTGCTTTCGTTAATCAGCATCGAATTTAATGAGACTTGCTAAATTTCATACTATCATATTAGCTGATCATGATATTTTCATACGCCCATATCTATCCTACGAAAGATTGTAACGATATATTAGTGCTAATGGACATCATTTCGAACATCTCGATTGAATTATAATATCAGTGTTGTCTGTATATATCATATTAACTTTTGAATATATATATTATCTTGATTATTCTTCCTGTTAGAGGTCGGTAAAATCGATTGAAACTTTCTGAGTTCCCTTTTTTCTTGTAAATCGATTAGAGATTACTCAACATATTCGATTGAGAGCGCTGTTTATTGTCCATAGTCACATGAAAAAACCCTTCAGCATGAATTATATCATGGCGAGGTGTATTCAGGTTTCCGAAAAAAAGAAATCAAAGTTTCCATCAGCTCGATGACTACATAGCAGTGCAAATTAAAAGGTTTTAGAAATCTTGGAAATTTCAGATATTTTAGATGGAAGTATCAGTTCATCACTTTGGAACACAAAGAAGATTTGCAAATGCGTCATTGTAAAGATCTGTTTGAAAAATCAGCTGTATATACTTTATTACGCACAAAGCACTGTTTAATTAACGTTCATAACTATTTCATGTATTCTGACAGACTTTTCTCCACTGAACTACAGAATAGACCTATGGAATATGAAATTGTTTCAAACTTCCCTACCCAATGTCATTCAACAGATAAAAGCGAAAACAATATATTTATCGAATGTTCCTTTAGCTTTATATCCATTTGTTCGTCTATATATTATTTCTGTTGATTATTACAACGCTATAGAAAAAATTAGTAATATATAAAACAATACTGCTTATTCAAAGATCAACTGTAAAAGCTTCTTCACAATATTATCAGCAACAGAAATCAATATTAGTAAATGGAATTTTCATTTTTCTCTATCACCTACGATCATCATAAGTTTCAAAAACACCTGATGGACAAGAACAAACAAAGTAATAAAAAGGTCTCGATAATAAATTTACATGGTGCTATCGAAAATGAGACTCAAAAAGTCTCAAATGATGATGGGTGAATATTTTCGATTTTTCTAATAAGACCCTTTCTTGAATTTGTAATTTTGATAGAAAGTTATTTCAGTCTTGATTGAAGCAGATTCCATAAACTTCACCTGTACCATCTCCTCATCCGCGTTCACGTGCTGAACCAGAAGACGACGATGAATTTACATTAGTTACACATCGGAGACGTCGTAATAATGATAAAAATATTTATAACGAATATGGTCAATATAAAAAATGACCAAAAAATCATTATCCTAATAATTATAAACAACAAACACATTCATCCAGACTTATAAATGTCTCTTCAATGTCTCATTCAAATCGAAATCAACAAAATCAAGTATTTGATCAACATCAGCAACAAATAATGACTGAAGGTACTCGGTAT